CCAGAAATACCCGTTGTTCCGTCGTAAGCCTTTGTCCGACACCTTCAGTCATCACCAGATTTAACTTAAGATGATGCACGAGCCGAACCAGAAACAGAAAACACTAGATAAGAGTATTAGCTTTATTCTCTTCACTAAAGAAAATTGAGACATTCGTACGAAAAAAGAACAAAAAACAAAGAAGTTACAATAATATGCTTCCCATCCCTTTTTTAAAAACATTCCGTTCTCTTCATATCTTACTACTTATCAGTTTTTCATATCTATCAAGAGGAATATATTCACAAAGAATAAAACACGTGCTAAGAGAGCGCGTGAACAAGAAGCTTTAGTGGTAAAGAATCGACTGGAAATATATGGCCGACGATCATGGCAAAAAGATACTGAAAAAACTTTATTTACAGAAGGAGGAATTTTTTTTGAAGATCATTGAGCGATTATTTCGTGATCAATCAATAATGTTGAATAAGACATGGAAGTATACAGTGAAACGCCCTCTTTCCAACGCTGAAAATCACAGTTGTCTATCTTAATACCTAGCAAAAGTTATTCGCAATTTAGGACTGGTAGGTAACTTTTGGACCATCCTACCTATATAGATTTGTTTTCATTATAAAATATTCACAAGGAAAAATTTGCAGATTTGACTTTAACTTGCCTCACTCCACCTTGTTTAGACCCCTGCTGTAAAACACAAAAAAACTAAAAACAAAAGTTATATTCAGAAATCTAAACTGCAAATTTAGAAACTCTTACAGATTTAAGATAAAAACATCATGATTCATTATTTTGTATAAGATTTGTTAGACAGAAAGAAAACACTTAAGTAATAAAAGAAGAAATAAATCGATTGTTTTTATATCTTAGATTCATGTAAATAGAGACGAAAGAAAACATAAAAATTTTTTTATTGTTGTAAATATTTTTCTAACTTTTTCATTCACTGAATAAAACGAATGCTCTTAAAGAATTTTTTTAAAGGTTATAGTATTCTTCTAGGATGTTGTTCTAATCGTGAACCTTGATGAATTTGCAAAATAATCGAGTCATATTCTTCTTGGTGGAAATCAATAAAGGGTATTTTATTTCAAAATCAATAAATAAAATAACTAGAATAATGAAATTTTTGTAATTTCCAATTTATTGAAAGTCATAAAATCTTGCTGCAAGATAAAACTAAACATTTTGCTCAGGAATCGATAATTATATTGAAAAATTTTTGAATATATTGGCATGTCAGAAGAATTATTAATTAATCGAGATTATAAAGAATAACTAACTTCAATCGTTGAAAGCAATCTGATTAGATATTCATGATGTTTCTGTCAAATCGGTAGAATGGTCTGCAGTTCAGATCCGGCCATGTGATGATCTTGAATACTTCAAATTTATTAAACTCCATAAACTTTATATTTGTGTCTTATTCTGATTTCAGCTATTTACTTAATTTATTGTAATAAAGGTAACGGTATAACAAGTTCCATGCACAAAATAATAGGCACAGCTTTACTTGAAACACGCCATAGAACGGAAAAGAAAAATTATTTGTTGAAAAAAAAAATACATCGAATGCCACAATTGTCATCTGCAGCAGCCATCTGTTTATCATTTTCTTTTTTTCTGTGAGTTAATTTAAAATACGAGTTATTCTACTTTTCCGGTCTGTAGTGATGAAGACCTACCTGCAAAAATATGATGTAAAATCATCAAGTAGAAAAACTTCATAAGAATGACCATATATTACTTTTTATTCATTGACTCTTTTGCAAAATATTCAAAAAAAAAAAAGATTTGATATCTAACATTTTAGAATAGATCAAGTGTAATATGTTATAAAAATCTCAAAACGTTGTTGTTCATAAATATATTTAATCTCATCGGATTTCTGGTTTTTTCTTTAGGAATAAAAATATTTAAAGAAGATTTTTGGATTAGTCAATGATACTGTTTTAATATTGATGATTACTATTTCTGTTTTGATAAGAATTTTTTCTCGTTAAAATTTCATTTCTTAATTTTATCAAATCTCAATTATTAAAAGACAAGAAAAAAAGGAATATTAAAAATTTATTTTATTTTATTTTTTTTTTTTTTATAAGAATTATCGAAAATAAAAATGTGAATTAACTTATTCATTTACATTTTATAAATACTAAAGGTCTAATTGATTAATTTTTCTTTTTATTTGTTTAACTAAAAGAAATTAATATGAGACAAAACAAAAAAAAACTAAAATAATAGGATTATTTTGATGAAAGTAAATTTGTAGTTGAACGAATATTATGTTCATCGATTTCAATTTGAAATGAACTTATCGATGGATATTGTTGATTATTTGATGTTGATGAATATTTTTTTGATCGATGAAATTCTAATGATTTTCGTTCATTAATATTTGTACTCATATCACTTGGTAATTCATGTTCATCACTAATATAATTATCTTTTTGTTTAATAAATATTAAAAATAAAATAATAAGAATAAGAATTAAAATACATAAAAGACTAAATATTGATGTTAAATGACCCATAGAAATAAATAATCCAAAAGGTAGTATTGACTTTGTATGATTATTCATGATAATGATTGTCTAAAGAACAAAAAGAGGAAACAAAATCTAAGACAATTATTATTACATTCTCTAGCAGGCATTGTTTATTGCATGACAAATGAAATATGTCGAGAAAATCTTTTATTCATTAGTAACAAAGCAAAAAAAGAAAAGAAAAAGAAAACGAAATGATTGTCAAGTCAAGTTTGATCAACAGAGGAATTGTTTTTGATTTGTAAAAAAGAAAAAAACAGGCAATGAATGTCATATATATATTTATATATAATTAAAAAAGATTTGATCATATGTTTATGATGTAAGACATATCATATTTAAATAGAGAATATGACTAACGAATATAATATATATTCATCTTAAATATTTTAAATGAATTTTTTTTTTTTTATAAATTAAAAATATAAAATAAGAAAAAATAAATAGAAATGTGTTTTTTTTTTTGTTTTGTTCTTTCCTGGAAAAAAAACATAATTATATCCGTTCTTGAACTTGAATTCCATAAGGATTTGTTCTATTATTATCAACATTTCATGTTAGAAGATGAAAGTATTTCTTTTAGATATAATAGACAATCAAACTTATGCTTTGATCTAAACTTGATTTTAGTTGAGTGTAATCATCATCTTAAATTTTATCAAGAATAGAACTTTTTATATCGAAATTTTAACAAAAATTACTTTTAGACAACAAAAAAAAATAGGAAATTTTCTGCAAATAAGATTTTTTTTAAAAAATATTTTCGCACCGACTGAAATTTAATTAATAGGAAATTTAATTTTTTCGGTCAGATGCATCTGTAATTACTATTTGTACTCTACTGTAAATAAAATTTTTTATTTGTTATGAAGTTCCGCAATATGAAAGCGACTGTTATTAGAAAATAACATTTCCTTTGATATTCTTCTTTGAACCATTTTCAAAATAATAATCATTTGACTTTCTGTTTGAGACATGAACTTGATTTTAGTTCTTATGACAAATGTTTTCTATCTAATATTATGTTTTAACATGTGCTGTTCGTTTCTTCTTGAAATAAATAATTGTTTAATCAATCAATGAGTCGATCTCTTTTCCTTTTGTTGATCGATAGAGTAACAACTACATATCTCTCAAATGTTCAATGATGGTTTTTATTATGAATGTTTTGATTTACAGAAAAACATGCTGGTCTTGGAACGGCTCATGATCAAACTTCCTGATGATAATCATGATTGAAATTTTTGATCATTTGATTTTTGTTTTCATTTCGAGACTTATCCTCAGTACTTTTCAAAATGTCTCTGAGGTATATTTGTATACTTCAAAAGTTTTCTCTAATATTCTTCATATGATAAGCTTTATATATCTCTGTAATTGTTTGTAAATTACAAAATCACTTAACAATAAAAAGACTATTTTCGAGAGCGATTATTACCATTAAAAAAATGTCTGTCGATATTGGTTTAAAGTAATATAAAGTGTAATCTCAAAAGTATCACTCGATAAGTTTAGTTTTACTATATATTTTAAAACAATAATATAGTAACAGAAATTCATAACACATCACAATAATTTGTTTATTTTCGTTGAAAAAATTAACTGAAGACAAAATTCTTTGAAAAATATTCAAATTTATTATAACTATATGAAACTTTACGTCAAACTAAACGAATATTAAATAGATGTCAAACGATTGTTATATTAGATTTATCTGAACTTCAAGATTATTATTTCCATTTATATGGTGATTATTTATTAATAAAGCAGTATCGAAGAAAACAAGAAGAAAAGATTGAAGAGATAAAAATCTCATTAGATATACGATTTCATAGATTGATAGATTGACTACTAGATTAACAAAATTAATCAAAGATAAGAAGAAATGAAAATAGAATCACTAGAATAAGTGAGTTTGTTTTTTTTTAATATTATTTTTCGATCAGATTTTAAGCTATATATTGATGTTACCGAGACAGAAAATCTTCTTACAGAATACCGAAAGAAAATATTAAAATTACAAGAAGTCAGCTACTTGAATATTCTGAATTACCTAAACATATATGTCTGTATTATATTCATATTCTGATGTAAATCATGAGTTTAAGTATGCGGCAATTTAACAACATCTTTTCCTTCCATGATCGTCTAATACACTGCACTATCTAATTCATGCTTATTAACAATAAGATGTATTCGATTATATTGCATATTCCCAAAGGCGACCATTACTATGAGATTTTTATAATAGCATAGTCCAAAAATCGCAAAATCATATAACTTTTATTCCAAGAAGAATACAAAATGCATTCATATAACAAAATATTTTATATGAGAAAAAGCCACGCATTACAAAAAAATAACAAAAGAAAAATAATTGTCTTGTCTTAAAGATATTAGAAAAGAGATATTTATATCTTTGAAAATGTTCCATATTAGAGATTGTGACGTGACCTAGTCAATAAAATAAAAATAACATGACCATCCAAGAGAAGTTGTTGCCATTGCACCTGCGAATACACAAATACCTGAACCGATCGAATAGCCAACAATAGTTAATTGAAATATATCCGCAATGAAAAGTGAACCAGTACGAATTGCTATACTTACTCCTTGGTGAATACGATTTACTGCTTTGAACGAGTTTGGTGTTCGATTGGGATCAACTGAAAAACAAGCCAACATTCGATACATCCATTCTTGAAAAAAATTTATAATTATAATATCGGCAATAGGAAGAAGTGATACGGCTGCTGAAGCTGTAGAAAAAGCAGCAATAATTTTATTGGCAATTGATTGTCGATATTGACTAATATAATCAAGATTTTTATCAATAATTTGTGCATTTAGTGGTGATACAGCATTAATATTTAATCGAACTTGATTGATACCATAATTTTTCGTAGTTGATACAGGAATACATTTAGTACTTGGAATAATCAAATACTTATTTACTAATTCTAAAGCTTTTCTAGTGTATTCTTCGACTTTTTTTACATCAGTATCCGAGCTAGGCAATTGATTATCGAAATATTCATCGATTTTATTGAGTACACATATAACAGGTATCTCAGTATCGTAAGATTCTCTTTTCATCCAATTTAGAACATTATTGACGTCATCTATAATGTTCTTCAGAGACGTTATATTGTTTAGTTCTTCTTTTGTGACAACCAAAATGACAGCATCAGGAAACAAATCTGTTTGCATTTGCTCATTATATCTTTCTACCAAATCAGGATCATCTGTTTGTAAATCAAATTTTATTATATCAACGAAAGTAGCGTTCACTTCTGCTACAGGTATAACTTGAAAATTTTCTGTACCAGTCATTTGATCATTGCTAACTTTGTATACTTCTTTTTCACCGATGCTATTGATTAAACTTGATTTATCTGCATTAGTATCACCAAGACAGTAACAAATGTTTAATCTGTTTGAATTCAATGTTTCTTGTAGACATCCGAGAGTAGTAAATAATTCATTGAACAACTTTTTCGGCACCGAATGATGTGATTTGACTTCTTTTTTCATATCATCAACGACTTTTTCGATGTTTTTAACTAATATTTCCAACTCTTTAGTTTTTGTATTGTCATTTGAATCAGTTGGCAGAGACTTAACATAATTGAAATTTGATGTAAATTGTGTCATCTCCGATAATGTGTTACTCATTGTTAGTCGCTGGTATGTATGGGTGAGATAGAATAAATAATTGCTGAAGCTTTATGAAGTAGATATTATTTATCATTATATATAGGTGAGATATGTTTTGTTATTTTCCATAGGAACAACTGTTATCATTTGGATATTATGTCATTCTGACAAGTGATATCTTATTACTTTTAGTGATGTTGTTAAATGAGATAAGGAAAAAAAGTAACAGCTGCAAAAAAAGTACTATGTACTTTATTCTCATATATCGTTGAAAGAACTAAGACGACTCTTTAATTGAGAAAAAGAAGACTTTGGTTAACAATAACCAACATCTTTTCACCTGGGCAGTAATGTCGAAGAATCAAGTGTTTTGACTGAAAAATGGACTTACAGTTGACCTTAAGTAGTTTTCAATTCTTTTCATAAATGCACGCAGTGTAAAAAGGTGAAACTTTGTACTTAGATATGTTTTTGAAAGGTTTGACCAGCATAGTCACATTCAAGTGAAAAAACTAAGAAAAATGCTGAATTTCGTACTGCCCGAATTTTATGAATTCTCATCGTACTTCAAATCCATATTCATTTTTTTTCCAGATCTTAGATTTTGTTTCGAATATGCATATATCGGCAAGCTTCTACAAAACTACCTGCGTTGTCATTAGAATTCTACAAAATTATCACTAACATAAGGATCATGGCAACTGCTACAAAATGCTCTCCTGTTTCTTCTTGTCTTATTGATAAAAGAGCAATTAGAAGAGTGCAGGTGTCGGTGTTGAGTGTGGGAGTATTGCTTATTTGATACTCATACCCACACCCTATTTTATTTCCTCTTCGATTACTTTTTAAAAGATATGAACAATTAAAAATCGAATATGATAAAACATGTTGTGGAATCGATTTTTTTGTTTATTCGAGGTTGAATTATAAAATATTAGAGAAAATCTTGGCTAATTAACATCATTAAATAGTTTTGTTTCAACAACTGCAGATGAACAAATAGTAGAAGCTCTTAGTTCGAGTGAAAATGCATTAGGAACAGTCAATTCATAGATGAAAAAGAAGTTTTATTCATGGCTGGATCGATATTTGAAATTAAAAATGTGACTTTCTGTGATTCTATTCATATATGGATAATTGAATTACAATTGTGTGATGATGTCTACGAATTGAATCAAGTTTATCAATTAGATAAAGCTAAGAAATATTATCAATGATTACTTGATGAAGGATCAATAAATGAAAGTACATCTACTGATCTTATCGTTAATTATTACTGGAGTTTAGGTAATGTCAATCGAAAACAAGGTGAATTTGATATTGCATTAGTTTATTATTGTTCAGCGATTGAACTGTGTCCAGATCGATTCGTTATTTTTCTGGTTCGTAGTTATAAATATATTAGCCTAGTATATCTAGGCACTCATTCCATTAAAAACGCTTTAGAATATCAAATAAAACCATTAAAAATTCGATAAAAAATTAATGATGCTAAAGATCAAATAGAAAATACTTTATATAATCTAGGCATAACCGATTTGGTCAACTTAGGCGAGTTTTAGATTATCTTTTACAAGCATTGAATGTACTGTACACCTCAAAAGTTTTCCCCCCCTTTGTATTTTTTAGTTTTTATCACGTGACCTTTTTAATTTATTAACTTCCTATGTATAGAAAGAAAGCCCAGAACGTGCTGCATCTTATGGTATATTTACATCGAACAACAAATGCAGTCTGAAGTATAAAAGATGTGTTAGAAAAAGACGTTACATTTTTTTTTACTGCAAAAATTGTTCAAAATCTTAAAATGTATGAAGAGTAACTAGTTTTTAGGATAATTTTTGATTGAAACATGATAGAGATCTGCGATTTTCACCGTTAGAAAGAGGACATAAAGATGCATCGAACTTTATACTTTGCATATCTCTGGCAAGTTTTGTTAAGGTCTTTAGTGAACTTTTCTTTAAAAATCGATTTTTTTTCGTATTTTTTGAAAAAAACTTCACTTTATCCTCTATAGAAGTCTCGATTTTTGAAGAAAAGTTCGCTAAAGACCTTAACAAAACCTGTCAGAGACATGCGAAGTATAGACTTCAAACTGCATTTGTTGTTCGATGTAAATATACCATGAGATGCAGCACGTTCTGGGCTTTCTTTCTATATATAGAAAATTAATAAATTAAAAAGGTCTAGTGATAAAAACTAAAAAATACAAAAGGGGGCAAAAGCTTTTAAGGTGTACAGTAATTTATGTGTATTCCATAAAAATTTCATTGTATGACTTTAGAATAAAAAAAACATTGTTTTCAATAATATCTCTGTTCAATCGAATGCTGGATTAATGTCATACAGAGATTCTACAATCATTTTATGAATTAATACTCATGATAAGAAAAAATTTCAATCATAGATTATTGTTTATACAAAATCTATTGTTTTTGTTTTCAGTATCAATCATAATTTGATTAATTCGTAGATGTTGATATCAGCTTTATTATCGTATATGCCTTCAATATTCGATGTGACTTGCTCAGAATTCACTACAAGTTCCAAACGCCAACCATATTTGTTAGTCAACTCTAATAATTTTTCTGGATGACCTAGCATCTTAGAAAAAGCTATAAAGACACGACCATTATCGGTTAAATGTTGGTGAGCTCCTTTCAAATATGCTTCGGAAAGTATATAGCCTGGATTGAAAACTGTACGTTCAAGTGCACTGAGTTCTTCCATTGGTTTATCAATATGACAGAAAGGTATATCCCAAAAAATAACATCGAATCGATCATTTTTATCGAATGGTTCAAACACGCTACCATAAACTGCTTGCATACGATCTCCTAAATTGTACTTTTCGATATTAGCTTGAATATTTTCTATTGCGTCTTGAGTAATATCGGTAGCCGTAACTCGGTTAGCACCGTTAAGAGCAGCAAGAATAGCAAAATAACCAGCTCCAGAACCAATCTCAAGTACTGATTCAGGTTTTATTATATGAATGAGATCCAGCCACGTTTTGACAAAATGATCTGGTAAAGGAAACACTGCAGGTGAGAAAACATTCGGATATACGATGAATTCGTGTCCACCAAGTTCAATAATGTGTTTTTCATTGTAAGTAGTACCAGCAATGTCGAGCTGAGCATGAACATGACCGTCACGTACATACTGATTTTCTTCTAATTTCATTATGGATTTTTGTTGTTATTTTCGAACGAAATGCTTCAGTTAGATGCAATAGACAAATGAAAGAATTAATCAAAGTCTTACTTATTTTAACGGTAATATGATGAGTATTTATAAGCGTAAGCTATATAAAAAAAGACCCAATGAAATAAGATAGCGTTTATGAGGTTTTCGGTGATACACGGTTAAGATTAGAAAATAACAAGAAAAAGGCACACATTCGTCATCAAGACTCACTTCCTTTCAGAAAGAGAAACTTATCTACAAAAAAGTACTTTTGTATTCTGTCAGACGTCGTCAAAAAATCAACACTATTGCAAAGATATGTAGAAACATCTCACTTCTAATGAAATTATCATTCGGCGATAAACACAATAAGACGCCGTCGGTAGTCATAAGGTAGTGACAGCAAGCTCAATTATAGTCTTAACGTTAGTTATGAATTGTAAATCAATTTGCAGCTTCTATAAAGTATACCAATGAAAATAAGACGAACGTCATATTTATTCGAAACATTTTTTATCTATTATGATGCTTTTGTACTAGAGCAAATTCTTACCAACAGCCATCAGTAGATATAAACCCCTTCATTTTTAAACAACAAAAATCACTACAACTACCAACCATCATGAAATCATCCTATGTGCAGTAGCATTCATGAGGATGTTAACATCACTGATTGAATGACTAATATGTAATTGTACTGCATATAGGGTAATTGCTGACAATTCATTTATTTCAAGTCCGACAAAGTAACAGAAGCACTTCTTTATCTTCTGTATGAGAATTTTCATTTCGAAACATATCTAATTTTATGAATCGATAAAAAGTTCTTCAACTGTACTAAATGTATCAGAGTGACATACTAATATTGTCTGTATTCGCTGAAAAACGATTTCTACAGAAAAAAAAATATCGACAATCACATTTTGCCAGGCGGTAGCTTCGTCGAAAATCAACTAGGATAGATAAGGAACGAAAATAAAACATGGTGTGAATCGAATATCCGCGATTCTATTTCACCTCCAAGAATAAACTATAGAAAGGTATAGAGCACGTCAATAAAGTCACTTCATAATGGCATCCCTCTGTAGCAATTTGAGACAATTGGATATATTGCCTGTAATCATCAGTTACTTATAGAGTGTATTCGTTTAGCAGAGTAATCATATTTTTGATTCGTATTTTTTTCTAAGTAACCTAATACGCCTGATAACAGTCAGCCATTTCAGTCATCATGCGAGTCCTTGCTAGAGACCTGGATCTAATTTCGAAATCGATGCAAATTATAGAAACTCCGAAAACTCTATTGCATTCTTCTCTTGTGCAACATTTATTTTTCATAATTGTAACTTCTGAATAACAAGAAATTTTCATTCAATAACGAAGTAATATCAAATAGAAAAATACAAAAAAAAACATCGACACTAGATTAACTGTTACAAGTGATTATTGCTAAAAAAAAAAGATCAGCACCATTCAAGATTTCCATTTTCGTCATTAGATATATTTTTATCTTCTTTACGTGCTTTTTAACTACCGTGTTATTGAATGTTCTACCATAATTGAAACTGTAACAAAATTTGATTTTTTTTTGTTGGTGCCTTCTGGATCTAATGAAATTCTTCAATAAAACTAAGTTTGTTTTTAAGCAACATCAGCTGATTAAGTTTTTCACCACCAAAATTTGTTCTACGCTCACAGACACCATTTTTCGATGATGAGAAAAGACATTCAATCGTGATGTTTGAAGCCAGTATTGCAAAGATTCTCCTAACAATTGAAGATAACGTTAGAAATAAACCCTGTGG